CTGTGGGGGTCGGCCAGTTCAGCACCTTGGTGTGACTGTCAGGCTGCTTCTGTTTGTTTCCATTCTTTAGCTACACTCTTGGCTGGACGGAAAAGTCAGATCTATTTTTGTTCTCATTTAGAAAACCCAGTCAGTGCTTGATTACAACTCATTAGTTTTACCCTGAAGGAGACTCTTCTCGCAGATAAACTGGAAGACATGTTGAGTGTGCCACAGCTCACTTGGCTAAGCCAGCTTCTCTCCTTACACGTCCTCCTAACTGCTGACTGTGTCTCACTCCTGGCAAACAGATTCCTAAAACTTGGGCTTCAGTACCTTGATTCCAAGTGGCTTCCAGAACTTTTTTCCCTCCTATATGTCAGCAACCCACAAATACGCGCTTTAGGTTGAGCCCAGGGATAGAAAAGGTAAACACCGGGAAGAGTTTTAGCCTTTGTTGTTTAGCCTGGGTTCTTAACAGATACTTTTGACCCATCCATATGGACGGGTATGTCTTTAAAATCAGAGCCCACTAAAACTAGATCAGCATGCTTGTCCTGGAGGCACTTCCTCAGCAAGAGCCCTGCCACAGAGAGCTGGGTAAAGCAGCGTGGTAACTGTAGAAGCCAACCAGCTGGAGAGATGCAGAAACAAAGGCTTGTAGGCTGAGGTAGAGAAGACCTAGGGTTGGAGAGGAGGAAGCTTTATTTTGATTGGACCTTCCAGGACTGGCAGGTGGGTGTAAGGAGGAGTATGAACGGAGGGACCGGTGGAGGGAAGACTTGGGTACCGTGGTCCCGGTGCCCAGCCTTCTCACCTCTTAGCATCCGTTGTGTTCTTTTTTCTATCGGTGAATTAAGAGCTGTTGCTCATCATACAAAGTGCATTTACGAAGGAGTAATTAGCTTTCCCATGTTTTATTAATCACATCTATGACTGCCAGTCAGAGCTTCTGATCGGCATGAGATAGCGGGCGTGACCATACTGAGTTGCTGTAATTCTAGCCCACAGCAAAGAAACTTGATGTCTCTGTCAGTCAGTGCAGCCTTATCAGGGGTAAATTCCTGTTCAGCCTCCTGAAACGCTGAGACAGCTTGCAGATCTTCATCACAACCTTTGTGGACCCTCAAGGGGCCTCCGTTTGGGCAGGATTTCCATCCAGGAGACGGGCACAACTAGGGGGAAGGCACCGTGGGCAGTAAGGAGAGTGCGGGCCACATGTGTAGGCCCCGGACTGTGGGAGTTCAGGGGTCCTGAGCACAGGATTCCTCATTGCTGGATGCAGCCTTCTTACCCCCCAGTGCTCAAGTATTTGTACTCATGTAGTAGTTGGAATATTATTTTTACTTTTTCTTTTTCTTCTTTCTAATTCTTAGCTTGGTGTAAAAATTGCCAAAGCCATTGCCTGCCATAACTTTGTAAAAGCCAAAAAGGAAGCTGAAAATTCACAGGTTGCTCGAAAAAAGAAGAAACTTGCGTGGGGGTAAGTTTAAGGCTTTTAGTAGTAATTCTACTACACAGAAATGAACACATCCTGTGACACATTTTATGAGTCCAGTTTGTGTTTAATTGTTTGTATTTGTGTTGAATGTCTAGCGGATTGTAAATAAGGAGGCATTTCTTTATCCTATTTGATGTACATTTTGTAATCGATGGAGTAGGAAAATTTAAGTTTATTTTACTTTGGCACTTAGTAACATGTTAACTTTAGTAAAATATTTTAGAAATAAATTGAGATGTTTATGTTCTTTGTTTTAGATTTGAAGCAAAGAAGAGATGGGAAACCAAAAGCAACATGGGATACATGTAACTCGCCAAGGTCCTTCAAGACATTGTGTCTTTTCTTGAGTTTTTACTTGAGTCTTCAATTGCTCAATCGACTGAAATCCCTGCTTATGTTAAATACGTCAGAAAATTGGTAGAAGTAGAAAAATAAGCATAAAATTTGGGGGTTGATTATCAGTCTTTTTCTAAAGAGTATTCTATTGAAAGGAATGAAATGGAGTGTTCTGTTACTTGTACAGGGAATCTAAGCGTACATACAGGAAAAAAGGTCGGGGTTTATTTATTTACAGGACCTACAGTATAAAATCGATTTTGCTTTTCATCCATCTGGTGTAGCATAGCCAATGAGCTCCTTGCGCGTTCTTATCTGTACTCAGTGTAACGGCACGTACTCTGGAATTGTGTTTTTTAAGATTGGCGTTTGTTTATAATGGATTGGTCATAAATGTAAGAAAGTCTCGACATTGTTTTACAAATGACTCTATCTTAATGTTTTAAACGTAATTATTGGTTCTTTATTGGATGCTGTAGAGTTGATACCTGACAGTCACATAATAAAAGCAATTGGTTAGCTTTAGTGTAACTTCAGATAAAATACTGCAATAAAAAATAAAAGGACAGAATGTAGTGTTTGGAGGATGATTTAAATTCAGCTCTGCCTGGAAATGTCTTCCTAAATATCTCTCTGAACCATGCCATTCCTTAAATTATGAGATGATTCTTAGGAGAGAAAATGGTATAATTATATGAGAACGTTATAACTGAAGACAATATAACGTTGAACCTTCTAAGACCACGGTCTGACTATTACTCGTCTTCCCCATTGCTCCTTAAAGATGGATGCATTAATGAGCTGAAAGAGGGGTTGGTGCCATGGGAAGTGGATGTCATTGGGTGGGTGTGTCACAGTCCTAACCAGAAGGGGCTCGGAGAAGTCATAGGACCAGCCGGAAACAAGACCGCAGCTGGATGTTTTGGAGTTTGGCAGGCCTCAGGTAATCTGGCACCGTCCTACTAGGTGCTCGGTAGAGGTTAAAAACCACTTACCGTGGTGGTCATCCGTTCACCTTCCTTCGTCAGAGGTTTTCTAGCCGTCTGCTGTAAACGTTCTCTGGGTTGGTAATGCAAATTTAGGAACATGGGAAATGAGTGATGATTGTAATTCTATTATTATTTTGTTATTTTTAGATGTATAGTAGCAACATAATTTTACTATTTTATTGTTGGCACGTTGAGCGTTTTATTTGTGTTCTTGGAATAAGGAAATTGCTATTTGCTTCCAGGAACTTAGGTGAGGAAAGCCAGTGTGGAGAAAGCAGGATTCTAGGAGGTGGTTTATCTGCTTATAGAATTCACCACAAAAAGGTGTCCAGACCAAATACTGGAAAATATTACATTTTATGATTTAGTGTCTCCTGTTGCATTTTACAGAATCAATCATATCCTGCTTACCTACAACATCTCATTGTAAAATCCTAATAGGTGAATACAGACTTACAGTATAGGAACCTTTCCTTTAAAAATTCCACGCACAGCGCAGTGGTTTTGTCTGAAACACTTAAGTGTTACCTTTGAGCGAGGGAGGACCGACATCTCACACACAGGGCCGGGCATGTTCTCCCGCAGCCCTGGCCTCGGCTGTCTTTCCCCGCACCCACTTCCGCAGGGTGCTCAGAGGCCCCGCAGGCACGGCTGGCGGGCTGCTCCTGCTGGGGCCTTGCCAGAGCGGCCTCCTCTAGGGTCTGTCTGGCTGGGAGCCCTTCAGCCCATCCCAGTGCCAGCGCCTGCCCACTCTGCCCCACTGCCTAACGTGGGTCGGACATCTGAATTCAGTAGGAGGCATTACGACAAAATCAGATGTAGCAGGGGATGCATGTGATAAGGGAGCCACATCTCATGAGACCCCAGTCCTTGGAGGTCTGGCTTGTGAAAAGCTTCGAAACCTGGTACAGCAGAGGGGGGTGGGCGGTGGGAGGGAGGGTTTGGGGTAAAGGAAGGGACCTGCTGTCTTGGGTTCGCCCTGCTGGCACGTCATTTGGAACCAGTTTTATTTTATTAGCTTTAATTTGAATTAGACGTTTTACTCATTAAAGCGTTAAAATGGGAACATTATTCTCAGGGTACCATGTTGCCTAAAAAGTGTAGTCATTTGTCCTCTTCATCTGGTCACAGCGAAGTAAGGATTCTTTTTGCATCGGTAATAACCTCAGTTCCTGAAGCTTCGACATGTGCATTTACTACCCCCGGAATGCCTGAATTAGATTAGTGATGTAAATGTCAGTTATAGTTAACGGAGATTAATATGTTTCAGGCCATCAGTATGGCATTAATGTAACTGTGATTTATTGAGTACTTCAGGCTAAAACAACTCACTAAAGAACAATAATTTTGAGCTTTAACGGTGCTGGTTCTGAAAGTGAAGTCAGTAGTGTGTTCCTGTTTGGGAGCCCTCAGGATGTTTCTGATTTTCAGCAGAACAGTCCATTTCTTTCACCAAAAGGAGAGTTTGAATGTATAATCTCAGGTTTGCTATAATTAGTTCTGATGACAGAGTTAAATACCTTGGCCAAAACTATAAATCAGTAGTTAAACAGGTTTCTGCAACTGATCATAAATCTCAAACTCCATATTTTAAACACACTTATTTTTTAGAGACAGCTAAGGGAGGGGCAGGCCAAGGACAGGAATGAAATGTCTGAACATCAAGTAACAACAGCTTGGAAGCTCGTGTTTAAAATCTTACTGATTTCCCTGATGCCTTTTGTCTAGATTGTTATCTTTTAAATATTTTAATAACTTAGCTTATGGTTTACTCTGATAAGTTTGAGTTCTTAAAATATGAAGATTAATTTTTAAAATATCCAAATTTTCATTTGTTAGGTAAAGATAGTACTTTTTAAAAATGTATGTTTTACTAAATTATAGAAATTACTGTATAAGGTTGATATTTAAATAAGATTCCAATTGTGTGGAGTTGGATTTGTTTTGTTTTTTTGTTTTTTTTAGAAAAAGTTTAGGGAAACCAGATGATGTTTGTCAGACTCCATTTTTGAAAAACAATGTAGTGAAACCTGGTAGTCAAATTCAGAACCAACGGAAACAATTCAAATTTTTCCATGTTGGCAGCAATCACTTCTATTTTTAGTGTCTGGCAGAGCAGTAAATGCTTTCATGTCAGTTTAGTATTGTTTTCAAGCCAACTGTTTATTTATTGGCTTAAAATTTACACTCTGCTAAAGTCTTAGCTGACTTTCATGAAACAAATAGTAATATTTGGACAAAATATGTACGTGAAAATGTTTTTCCAGAAGCAGATGCAGATTGGTATGTGTGGCAGCAGTACATGCTAACAGGGTGATGGATCATAAAGTACTTCGAAAAGTCTGAGGCATTAGAAACCCAGGGCACAGCATTTCAAGGAATTAATTTTATTATGAAGAAATCAGATCATCTTTCTACGTCTTCAGATTTAAATTAGTAAGAAACTTTCTGCTAGAAAGCGGAATCTGTGTTAGAGTACATGTCAGTGAACTACCAAAAGATGATTTGATTAAGGTATAGCTATACCTGTGTAGCTTACTGAAACGACATGGCCTGACCCATTTTCCATGTTTGAGGGGGGTGCTCTGTAGATTTTGATCAGATCGGCAGAGCTGCATTCTTTAGTCTTTTATTATTTTATCTTCCCTCCACACTCCTCACCTTGAAAGCAGAGGAGCCACACACCCTCGCAGCACGGTGGCTGTCGACGGCGCAGAGACTTGCTGGGCAGGGATCCTCGACTCCGGGCAGGCCCAGGGCAGGCCCCACGTGGCAGACCCAGAGCACCGGGAGGACACGTGGGGGGCGGCCAGGCCATTGCGCTCCAAGCTTAAAATGAAGCACTGGTGTCATCCGCAGTAGCTCCTCCTGTTCCCTGGCGAGCACTCGGGAGATGTGTGTTCATTTGGGTACAATTTCTTCAAAAACGGGCGCTGCCAGAGAGGCTTTCCGCCACGCTGGCCTTTGTGATCTTGACCCCTGGACCATAATGATCGCCTTCCAATGGGAATGCCCGTTAAATGCCATGCCGTGTGCCGTGTTTTAAGGTGTGCTTGTAAAATCCAGAATTAGCTGAGGGATAATTACCTTTTTATTAATATTCGTAACCCCTTTTTTAGATTGAAGTCAAAAGAGCATAAGATTTTTTAAATTAGCTCTTATGCACCTTCTGTATCTAGACCAGATTTTGGAAGGAGGCACAGAAGGGAAGGAATGAAAGGGGAAGGGAGGGTGGTGCCCAGGAGAAGCCTCGGCCCGGGCGCCGCTGGGCCAGGCTTTGCCCTGGGCCTGCTCCACGGCCTCCTGGAAGCCTGGTCCGCCCCACTCTGCGCCCATGGGCTGACTTGCCACATTGCTGCAGGGGGCCTTCTCTGTGACAGGCACCGAGTGAGGTCATCGTTTCCCACCTCTAATTCTGGAGGGTGTGTCTGTCCAGTTAATACTTGTTCATTGAGCTTAAAGATTTAGAAACCAGCAGCTACAGGACAGGCTGTAATTATTGGTGTCTGTTCATATTCCTCTGTTAGTCCTGGCATTTGATCAAGAAGTTAATACATCACCTCATCTTCAGGCTGAATGTGCCTCAGCTCATAATGTTTTATTGTTTGATGGGGTAGTATACAATTATGACTGCCCAGAATAAAAACTGTTTTCCTTTGTAACGTGGGTGATACCAGAAGTAATTACGAACATCGCAAGGAATAGCGAAACAATGAGGCCTCGTGTTTTTTTTTTTAATTCCTTTCTACAACATCTCTGACAGACATTTACTGAACGCCTCCTGCATGTCAGACACTAAGCAGACCCTCTCAGATGCTAAGATGAACAAGCACAGTCTGATGGGAAATAGATGTAAACCATGTCGGGACAACTGGGTTTTTTAGGCGGGCTCTTGGAAAACGAGTCACGTTTTCTTTGTTAAATACAGAGAAATAACCTACGTATAATAAAGTCAGTGACCGAGACTTAAACATTTTGGTTGTACAGGCGTACAGCCTCCCCAGAGTGCAGGGTTGCTTAGCGGGGCGGCCGGCGGCAGCCCCTGCGGGCTTAGCGACTCGTCCGCCTGGACTCCCTACGCCTGAGGGGCTTGACCCCCGGGCTCTGCCCTGTTTCTTAGGCTCAGAGACGAGGGTCATAGAGGAACGAATGCAACTGATATTGCACCGTATGTGGTAATTTTAAGTGTCAAGTCTTAGACTATATCAACATGTCCTTCTGTTGGGACAGCTGTGTCACAGCTCCTACCCACGTTAGGGTGACGTTAGCTTCCGCAGGAAGTATGCCTCCTACCTAGACCAACTCAGACACCATAGAAGTTTCCTTCTAGCTCACGGGACAAAGGAGGACGTTCCTGTCAACAGGAGACTCTGCTCTGTGCAGCCGTTCTGAAAGCCAGGCTGACAGCAATTCTCTCACCTCCTGTCCCCAGTATCCCTGGGTGTCACGGAAGGGCACTCCTGGGCAGCCATGGGCCTGGCGTGGGAGTGGGACCGTCCTGCTCACTAGTCCTGCACGGGCTAGAACTTGGTGGCTTCACCACACCCTCCTTCAAGGATGCTGCAAAAGGTGCACTGGTTGTTCCCCAGGAAGAAGCTGGCACTGTCTGCCAAATTGCCTCAGTCACACGTGACCTTGACTTGGGTAGCAGCTATCACTGAGGCATAATGTTGAATAGCGTAAACCGCTATTTGT